CATTTTGGATTAAGGACCAGTACAGGATAAGAGCAGACTTAGGAGACTCCTTCCTTTGGAGGGGCTCCAATCTGGACCATGCTAAATGGGCAAGTTTCCCTTCCCCTCTCAGACTGAAGGTTGTTTGTCAGCTGTTGACTAGCAATAATGACTATACCTCAGAGAATGGCCATAATTGTTAAATAAGAGACGACTAAGGAAGCAAAATCACCCTTGGAGACTGTAAAACTCATTATTGGGGTTGTTTATGGCAGGAGGACAGCTTCAAGATCATTTTTTATGTATAGCGCTCCAGACCTCATAATTTCGTACCCCCACCAAGCTACCTGTACCCTCACTCTGCTTTCTCTCTTGGAACCTCTAGGAGAGAGATTATTTTTAAGTAGCAAATTATGTTGACCAATAATCTTTAGTAGCATCTATGAATACAGAACTTCCCTTCAGAGTTGAGTCCCCACTGAATAGAACTTTGTGTCAATTTGGTAGACACCACCTTTCAAAGCAAACTCCTAGCTAGTCATGAGGGCATGTGATAGTACTAAGATACAGCTTTTAAAAAGGTCATGACTTATGAAAGATAGAATAAAACTTATCAAATATTTTATTCACTCTTTAATGAGAGAACCTATTCAAAAAGTCTTTTAGGCCACTTCAAGAACCCTTTGGACAGCTATGTTTTCATAGGCAATTTAATATTAGGATAAGATTGATATATTACTAGTTACTGTCCTTCAGGGTAATAAACCATAACCTCAGGGATTATCTTTTTCAAAAGGATAGAAGTTTTCGTATCTCCACTGCACTAAGAACTACAAGTTAATAGGGAGCTCCAAGTCTTAGAGCAAAGCAAAGTGAATTTTTCTAACTAACCCTTGGGTGTGGAGGGGAACCAATGTCATATTGTCACCAAAGACAATGAAAGAATGTGCCATCTACCTTCCTGCATTATTTCCAAGTTCTGGATAATTTTTAACGCAAAGTTAAATACTTCATTTGACAAACAACTTTTATGCTTGCTTTTAGCAGCCTTATTGAGACCCAAAAATGTCAGGAATAATCTTTTTTTTAGAGGAGGAATCTGAGTCACATAAGGAGGAAGAAGCTGAGCTGGGAGAGTCCTTGTTTTCTAATTCCATATCCCCTACTCATCCCTGAACTCCACACTGCATTTTGCATTTAAAATTCCTCCTCCTGTCCATGCTGTGTTGTTCTTGGTGACACCCTCACCCCACCTTTTTAGACTTCCCTGAAGGCAAGGCTTAAAGGAGAAAGGGTCCCTCAGCTGCCCCTGCTTTTCCCATCCCCATGGCCTCCCAGGCTGATCTGAGTCCTTTGAAGTCCCCGCCATGGTTCAGTTCCTCAGCATTATCAGATGAACCACATCCTACCAACCTGAGCCAAAGAAAATTGTCAAAACATGTTTTCTCCTCCCTCCAGGATAAAGGACAGATTAGCTGCTGCATTCCAAGAAAACTTTTTCTAAACGGTGGTTCCTCTAAACAGGTTCTGTCCTCAGCTACTGGCAGACAGTGGGAGACGCGGTGCCATCTGTCAATAGAGTCTCAGAGAAACCTGCTGTTTATGAAACAGAGGGTCTTGTTTAGAGCTGTTTCCAGCTGAAGTTTTCCCCTCCTCAATAAACAGATCATCATTTTCTGCGAGTTGAAAGCAGAGGGGCTGTGTGGCTCCTGGACAAAAGGCACACAGTGAACAAAAGACTTTGCTGTGTTAAGCAGACAGCCAGGATGGTAGCTGCCAGTGGAACCGGATAGACCAATCTAGTTCTGCCTTGCAAGGCCGTTTCTTTTTCTCTGTGGGCTTTTGCCACTGTGAAAACCATTTCACTAGCGGGATAGAAGCTGGGGCCCACTGCTTCCTGCCTCTGTGTTTTGTTTGACATCCAGGCCCAGTGAAGTCGCACCTCTGCATCATCACTTGCCTGACTGCAGGGCTTTCGTGGTGTTTGGGGGCATTTTTCATGTTGGTTCTTCAAGTGATGGGTAGCACACCACTTGGGAACAGTTTTGTCTAATGAATTACTCAAAGGTAAAAGTTAGGATTAACTTCCTTAATAACTGTAAAATATGGAATGTTTATAGGGTTTTTTTTTTTTTTTGCTTTTTTCCTTTTAAAAAAAAATTAATCAGAGAGGCAGTACTGACACCCAAGAAGCAAAGTAAAAAAGCCTATGGGGTATGCAGTTAGGAAAGTAGCTACTCTGTAGCCTCTAGAATGCTAAAACTGAGTAAGAATGTTTTCAGAACTTCTACTTCAAGGTCTCTCAAACCATCTTCCACCTGATGTAATGGCAAGTATGACAAACTGCATAATAAATGTGCTAAGTCTGTTTCACGTAGCGTCTCATTCGATCCTCATGGTAATTTCACGAGGCAGGTCGGATCCCTTTATCCCTGTGACACAGGAGGTGACACTAAGACTAAGCAAGTCCAGTTGCTGGCCCAAGTGCAGCAGAAGAAAGGGGAAAACTGGGGCCACAATGCACCCCAGGGATCCCTTCCCTTGAAACAGCTGCCTGCTCTCCCCCTTTTCCTGTTGTTCTGAGCACAGAGAGCACTGTAAAGTTTTGGGAGCTTTGCACATCCAGCGCCCACCATTTTTATTTGATTGTGTAATCCCATAATCTTTCTTCCTGCCCACAACCATGAACCACTTTGTACCATCTCAGAAAAACACATGCCCTGCAGAACATGGCTTGGTTAACCCTGATCCACGCCAGTGTTTTCATTTTATAAGGGAGACACTTAGGCTGCATGAATAAAGGACTTGCTTTCAGCTGCACAGCGCATGAATGCCAGCATCCGCACCGCGAGGTTGGCCCCACCACAGGCTGATGCTCTGCAGTCTGTTCTGCTTTACATCACTGTGTCTAAACCAGACAGTGAGCCAGCGGATGAAAGACAGTGCGGCTCTCCAGGCCAAGTGTCAGGACTAATCCCCTGCAGGATGACAGCTAAATCAGCCTCTCATTAGACGAATAATACCGCTCAGGCTTGCCGGGTGCTGTACCACTTACGAAATGCTTTACACAGCTTTCTGTTGCCAGACCTCTGGGTGTATCCAAAATACCCCAACAATGAGGCCTTGTTCATAAATTATGTACCTTCCAAAATAAACTTGGAATCAATCAAATATTAAGTGTGGAAATAGCACTGTATTCCAACTAGTAGAATTCAAAACGTCAAGGTGTAAAAATGAACAGAGGTGTGAAAATGAACAGAGTTCTACACTAAGAGCCTTAGACAACTTTTTCACCTGTGAATGAAAATAGCCCAGTGCAGGATGATGAGTTAGTGGTGAGAATTGCCTTAGTTCTCATGTTTAATGCAGGTTTAGTGCTGAGCAGCCGCAAATACAAATATGCTTCCCTCCAAATGCAGGCAGCACAGCCCTTGCTCCCTAGAGCCATGAGTGTGTAAAGCAGAAGAGCATAGTGTGTGGAGATGTGATGTGATGTAAAAGCAGGTAATAAGCAGAGACGTAGAGCAGGGCATTATTAGTCAAGATCTGGGGTGCAAAAGAGAGCTACTGTGAAGAACGGTTTCTCCCTATGTCTCTTTCAATTCTAACACTGGTAATGAAGATGGCTTTACAAGTTTCTCTACCTACGTTTTCCCCATATTAGCAAACAGAGTAAACTAATAACATCCCAAAGAGCATGCTCTGTTCACTGCATCCTACCCACCTTGTCTTTCTACCCTTTGGTCCTTACCCACTGTCTTACTTCTGCTAGGCATCTGCTCTTCCTGCTACTGCCTATCCATCTGCACAGTCCCAATCCAAGTCCCCCCCTCTAAAAGTCTCCCTGCACTTCCCATAGGGTTTTTTTGGTAACACCTTCCTCTGTGCTTCTGAAGTCTACACCAAAGTAATGGCTATTTTTCATGCACAATATGGTCTTACACAATGAGCAGTTTCCCTTCCCTCACCCTCAGTGCCAAATCCCATGATTAGTATGTGTTTCCTACTCTCTGCCTGCTAACCTACACTGAGTTCCTTTAGGGTCCACCCAATCTTATATCCCTGTGTCTGGTATGTAGTAGATGCTGACTAAACAGTAAGGGATTCAGTGCATTTGTTGAATGAAGAGCTTATTCCTTTACAGGACTAGTTGACTGTGTCCTGATTCTGATAAGAGCATGATAGAGGTGTGTCCCAGAACCAAATGCTGTCTACCCCACCCACAGTGGGGAGTTAGGTGTTTCTCAGCCCACAGATGAGCACACTGACCCATCACGTCTCCAGTTTCACTGTAATGCGCATCTCCCGGGAACCTTGTTAACATGCAGGTTCTGTCTCAGAGGGCTGGGGTAGGGCAGGAGGGTCTGCATTTTTGGCGGGGTCCTGGAAGACATATTTGAATACCCTGCTTGCAAGACTTTTGGGTGTAAACACAGCAGCAGCAACGAAATGCACTTTTGTTACCTTTGGGTGGTAAGGAGTAGCAAACCTGTCGTGTGCATTGTTCTCCTTCCAACGGAGATTGCTGAATGCTCATGAGATTTTGAATGTGTTGGCCAAATATTTAAGTTATGCCTTGAGCCATAAACATTTGGCAGCATACGCATTTGTTTGTGCCTGTAACTTTGGTTTAATTACATGCTATCAATAAATCAGAACTAAATGAAGAAGAGGAGGGAAGATTCCATTCCTGTGACAAGTGAGAGGGCGAGTGGGAAAAGGAAAAGCTCGCTGTGGAGCCTTTCCAGCCCGCCTCAGTGTTCTGTGACTGCCCTGGAGGCTGGGAGTGGCCCCAGTTGCATTTTTATTGGGAAGGACCCCACCCTTCAGCCTTGCATCCCCTCTGGCCCCATTTCCGGCAGTCCTCTGTTCCTGGTAAACAGTTAGTGATGGTTTATTGATCTCCAGTCCTTTGAACCCCACACAGTCCCTTGGCTGGTATGCCAAGTTTTTTAGAGGTCAAGTGTCCCTGGTCCAAGACTTTGAAAAGAAAACACCCTCTTTTCTGTCTTCTTTTCCAGATGTCTCTGGGCCAGCAGCAGTCAGCAAGAGGTGTGGCTTGCTTGAGATGCAAGGGGACATGTTCAGGCTTTGAACCACATTCATGGAGGTAATGGATTTAGGGTGTGTGGGGGGGCGTACTCTTCTGCTTGTCTTCACTTCTTGGCTATCTTTTCTGGGAACCCTGCATGTCCCTGTGCTGGGACTGCTTAGGATGCATGCATTACTGGAAGTGGCAGCCCTGGAAGGAGAGCTGCCCTGCTGGGTGCAATTCAGAAAAGTTGTTGGGAAGCACAGATCTAGAGAAGGAACTTAGTGCTTCCTAAACCACCTCAAGGAGGCCAGCAACCGAGCCCAGCAAAGTATACTGTGGGAAGGTGTGGATGGTCCGGGCTGCCTTTGGGGTAGGACCATCTCCCCTAGGTTTTAGTGATAGGGTTTGATCTCACCCCACTGCACCATCACCCCTATGTGTGGGTCCTGGGATAGAAGGAAGGCATTTTGTCACAATCCTTTTAGTCCAGGATGGTATTTATATTCACACAGGAAGTCCGTAGGATCCATCTGGGTCGTTCTCTCTCTCTCTCTCTCTCTTTCTCCCTCTCTCCCGCTTTTAATCAAGGACTCTGTAAGGCTGAGGCTGCCACACTGCGCAACACCCTGGCCTTATTCACACCAGCACCTATGTGTACAGTGTCCCCTGGAGTGTGACTGTCCTTGCTGCCCTGGGAGAGGGAGCCTAAGCTTTGTGGAGCATTGAAGCAAAGACCTTATTTTGTCAATGCCATAATGCCCCTTGGGCACTTGATAGGGAGGTCAAAGTTCAGAGCTATTTCTCCAAGATGCTGATTTCCACTGTGAAATGGCAAATACAAAAATGTCACATGAGCTGAGGGACATCTTTTATATTGAAATAACCCTAAGCAGTATGATCATTAGTATATCTGTTCTATAGATCAAGATAAGAGAGTAAGTAACAGAGAAACAGTTACTAAACGGCAGGATTTGAACTCACATCTGCAGGAAACACAATCCCATTCCTCACTATTCTGACATATAGTAGACTGTGAGCTTTTAGAGCAGGAGATCATTCTCTGTCTCCATTTCTTGAAAGTCCTCAGTATCAGAGGAGCTCACATGGTCTGGATAGAAGGGACCTTCAAGCTTACCTAACCCATCCAGTGCAGAATTTCCTCCTACAACTAAAACACACCCAGGGAGACAACTCCCTCTACTTCTATTTTCACCGTTTTAGCTCTTTCTGGCTTTAAAGGAGATCCACTTAGCTATCATTTAAACTCTGTTAGTACTAAATCTTTTTGCTGGGGTTTCAGACACTGTTGATTGCTCTTGAGCTCTCTGAAGCTAGGAGGCCTCAGTGTAAATTTCATGGGAAAGGGATGTTTCCTAAATGCACCCACCAAGATAACTGAATATTTCCCCTTTTGTCAAGGAATACAGTCCCAAGCTGCTCATTTGCCCACATCTGAAAATGGTCATTTAATATACTTCATCTGGCTTTCTAGTTGTTTATGAGGGAGAAAACTCTTGACCCTATTCTTCATGACCAGGAGCAGAAGTCTCTTAGCAAGATTTTAGTCCCTACCTTCGCCTGTCATCCTGCAAATGATTTGAACACCAAGTGAATTTCTCTCTGAGAAATACACTTGAGAGGCTGGGGCAGGAGGATTGTTGCGAGTTCAAGACTAGCCTGGGCTACAAAGTGAGCTCAAGGCCAGCCTGAACTGCATAGCAAGACCCTGTCTCAAAAAGACCAAGAAAAAAAGAGAGAGAGAGAGAGAAATACACACTGTAGGTTATGGGTCCTACATAACAAATGTTGTCTTTGATTGCAACAGTGATGACAGGAACTTAAATTCAACCCCTATAGAAGCAGAGACATCACAGAACCTTAGTGGGAAATGCTGTGAGAGATCTCATGGTCGAGTTTTCATACCACAGTTGTTTGAGAGGTATTTAAAAGGCCAACATAGTAGTACAGGAGAAATATAATGCCCAGCCTATTCGATGTCAGATGTGCCAAGTTCATGTCCCCTGATATCAAAGAATGAATTTCCAGGAACAGTGGAGGTTAAGAGCAGGGTAGGTTTATTGAGAAATAGCTCCTGAGAGACAGTTTCTGAGTGATGGGAGGGGTCCCAAGTGTGTTGCCACCAACGCCCATTGTCAGCAGTAATTTATATAGCAAAGTCAAACTATAACCAACCTATAGGGTTACAGGTATAGCTGTTTATCTAATATTGGTCCAATAGGGAAATGGGTCACATAGCAAGGGTACATGGAGGCGTTTTGGGGAAGGGATGGGTCCAAGTGCACTGATCACCCACCTGGGTGACTGATGCCTATCTGGACTTCCTGAATCAGCTGGTGCTAACTACAGAATAATTCTAAGTAACTGTTTATGGCTTAGGAGGCAGGTAGGTCTGGCCACTCCCATCTCTATCTCAAGGCCTGACCTTCTTTAGATGCCCCTCTAGCCACAATTCTGATCTCTTTATTTTTTACGGCCTCTTTGAGAGCTCAGTTCCTCTCAGATTGTATATTAATTTCTGTCTAACTTAGCTGCCTATAGTAGTACCAGCCAGCCCAGTTTAATAGGAAAGTCCCTCCAGTAACCATCAGAGCACAGAACCCAGTTCCAGGCTGTGAATGAAGACTGCAGCCATGGCCATTTCATACTATAGAGGTTCTTCAAGAATGTATCTGTGTTTCCAGCAATCTAGATCCTTGGAAGAAGATAGGGTGGAGTGGGAGGGAGGTCTTTCTCATTTATAAGGTCCTAGCAATGTGTCCGGAACATGAAGACTGTAAATAACAGGAGAAATAATACGGATACAACCTCAAGGAACAGAATATTTGTTCACATTTTCCATTTCAAAATGTTTTGCATTCCCAATGTCTCTAACAGCATCCTGAGATTCCACACTAACCACAAGAACACAGGGCAATTTCTTCGTCCAGTTCCATATATGGAAGGTGTAGGGAAGACAGAAGGGCAGGCCGTAACAGAGGACTGGGTCAGGGATGTTCATTGTCCTCCTACTCTAGGCTTTCCTCCCTGCCTCCCTCTTCCTTCTCCTTCCACCTCTGGTGCTGCTGCTTTTGCACCCTCTAGCACTATCTTTACCCCTTCACAGAAGGGAAAGGCAAGAGGATACTGTAGATCATGAATAAAAAGCCCCAGTCTTTCCAACAGGCAATCCCTTCCTAGCAGGCTGAAAGGAAGACTTCTCACTTTTGTCCTGCAATGCCCACCCTTAGGGTCATCTCTCTTTCATTGTTTAAATCCTTGAGATAGTGGGCTTTAATGTTTCTCACATTGCTGCTCACTGAATGTGAACTTAGATGGCAAAGTTCTGAAGATACATGAGAGATGCCACACTGCACATCAGGGTATCAGGGACAAGGAGCAGCCTCACGCTAAAGGAAAGTGTTTAGCTTTCTTTAGTCACTGCCTCTCCAGCTCATGACTGCTGAGTGCTGAGCCCTTGTCTGTGTGTCACCTACTAACATCCTGCAAGGCTGCTTGGGCTGGAACCACCCCAGACCACATGGACCTCTGTCATGGTCAAATCCTAGCCTGCTTTCTGCTACAGTTCCCAACTGCTTTTCTCTTCTTTTTCTGTCCCATCAATATACATGCATGGAGGCTGTAGTGGGTTTCTTCCCTTCCAAGTAGGTGAGAGCTTCCCAACCCTGGCACTACTGGCATTTGGGGCATGAAAATTCTCCATGGTGGGAGGCTGTGCTGGGCAGCACAGGATGTTCAGCAGTATCCCAGACTCCTGCCCACCAGATACCAGGAGCACCCTTCGTCCTCCCTGGAATGATCACAAATATCTCCAGATAGTGCTACTTCTGTCCTAGGGAATAGAAGTGATCTAGGTTGAGGAATCACTGGTGCAGACCATCAAAGCAGCCTCTGCTAGCTCCATAGTCAGTACTTGCCATACGTGATCAAACTGATGATTTCTAAGTGTGGGACAGAAAGGAAAGGCTGGTTCCTTAGGACTTGCCTCCCGTACTGTAGTAGTACAGCTGCAGAGGCCCCCTTGCCTGGCCTTCCTCTGCCTGCGGTTGGTCTTGACCCTACTCACTTTACTTAACAAGCCCTTCAGTTGCACGCCCTAGATGCCCTGGAGGGTCTGAGACGTAGCACAGCAGGCTTAGGGTGACAGGCCAGAGAAGGCGGGCAGCAGTTTTCCTCTAACGCTGTGGAACTCTCTGGGTTTCTAAACCTTAACAGTATGACACAAAGCAGCCAAACACTTTATGCTTTTAATTGTCAGAGAGATGAGTCAGCTTTGAAGTGAACTTGAACTTGGCCAAGATGTGTTTCTTTTTCCTGCCTCCTGATGCTTTCCTAGCGGACATCCATCTCTCCAGCTGGAGGGCTTTTATCAACTTGCTCCCTTCTCTCTAAGCCCTTTCCACGAGTTTCTTGAAGAAAATTCCCACTGGGTTCTCTCTTCTGTGTGCGTTTTAAAGCATTTTAAGGTTGCTAGAGTTCAGAGGTTTATGAACCTTGGGAGACAATGTTAATAATTATTTGGGGCAGGGACCAGCATGTTTCTTGTGTTAAGGGCCAGATATTTTAAGCTTTGTGGACCAAATTGTTAACTATCAGTTCTGTCATTCTAGCTCCAAAGCAACTATATGCAGTGTGTAAATGAATGAGCATGACTGGATTCCAATAAAATTTTATTTACAAAATGCAGGCTGTGGGCCAGATTCAAGCTCCAGGCTGCAGAGGCTCCAGCTGTAGATTTTCAGTAGGGAAAGAATTAGCCTTTGTCATGGCAAAACAAGCTTCTCAAATATGTTTATGTGCTGCATTCCCCACAGATAGACTGATAGACAGGATTCCTGATTGCAAAGACCTGTTTGTCTCAGGTTATCATCTGTCTGCTGCTTTCCTTTCTGAGTTAGCAAAGGTAATCTGTGAGCTTGCTTTGTAGGGGCACAGGCTTCCCTGGCAGTGTCTTGCTTCTGGAGATCAATCTCACTTGTTCCTATCCCTTCCTACCCTCCAGGAAAATATGCAAGTCATGCAAGTGCAGCCAGGAAGACCACTGCCTGACCTCTGATCTCGAGGACGATCGGAAAATTGGCCGTCTACTGATGGATTCCAAGTACTCTACCCTCACTGCCCGGGTAAAAGGTGGAGATGGCATCCGCATCTACAAGAGAAACCGAATGATCATGACCAACCCCATTGCCACTGGGAAAGACCCCACCTTTGACACCATCACCTATGAATGGGCTCCCCCTGGAGTCACCCAGAAACTGGTAAGAGCTTCTCCCAGTCCAGTGATTGTTTTCCTACCTTTGTAAATGTTAACTGTGTTAAGGGTTCCTGAATTTCAAAGATGAAGTGGCAAGACGGGAGAGTTACAAAAATGGTTTACTGTGGCCTTGGTTTCAGCTCTGCTCCTGTATCATATAACACTGAAGCAAAGACTGTCCAGGCCTCAGTCATCCAGTCTGGGACAGGGGTGTTCACTAGTCCTCTGGACCCTTCACTGCTGGCCAAGGGATCTTTAATCACTCAGAATTCAGAGTGCTTATCTCCATCTGTGAGATGTTTGTTTCCCCACAAAGTGGCTTAAGATATGTGCTCCGCCATCTTTTAGGAGCACAGAGAAACAGTCCTCCCTCCTTCCTAGAAGTGGAAACTTCTGGGTCCCAGAAGGGAGAACCAAGCTTATTTTTCTCATTGAGTCTGGAAGCTCTGCATTGCAGAATACAGAGCGCCCAATGGGAGCATTTTAAATAACTCCCCAGGTGACTCTGTCTGCAGTCACCTTTATGAGCTAAGGCACCAGCCCGTGGCTCCTCAGACCTCACTGTGTGTAAAGGTCATCCGGGGAGCTCACTCAAGTGCATCCAGTAGGGTTAGGGCCATCCTGGGACTCTGTGTGCCTGACAGCCTGCCAAGTGACTCTGGTGTGGCTGACTCCAGACCACATTTGGAATAGCAAGGAGCTGGGTAATTTCTACAGAGTAAAGAGATTTGAAAACAAAAACAGTTCCACAGTGTTAGAGATGGAAGCCTAGAATTTCATGAAGTCTCTCCTGGAAGAGAAGAGGACCTGTGGAGTCCTACACGATCCTTTCCCTGCCGGCTCCTTCCATGGCTCCTGTGACTCCCCTGTTATTCAATACCGCATGACACCCTGACTTCCTCCCTCCATCCTGGCGTGTGCCACACTTTTATCCCCCACAGGGGCTCTGCCCTTGCCACTCCCTCTTTTTGCACTATTCTTTCTCTGCTCTTGGTGGCTAGGTCCTATGACAGGCAGGTGTCGAGCTGGCCTTCCCTGATGATCCGATTTAGAATAGACACTACACGTCCTCACCACCACATCACCTCTCTTTCCATTTCTTTCTTTTTGGGGGCAGTTATGGGGATTGAACCCAGGAATACTCTACCACTAAGCTACATTCTCTAGCCTTTTTATTTTTAACTTTGATACAGAGTCTCACTAAGTGGCCCAGCCAGGATTTGAACTTGCAATCCTCCTGGCTCTGGCTCCCTCGGTGCTAGGACTACATGTACGTACTATCATGCCCAGATTTTTTCCATTTCTTTGGAAGCTTTTATTGCAAGCAGTAATTATCTTATGCATCTTCGTGCTTAGTTACCACCTCTTCTGCACACTGGAGTGATGTAAAGGCATGAGGGCAGACCCCGTGGCACATCGTGGCATCCCAGCACCTAGCACAGCGCAGGCCTGTTCCTCAGTTTTCCATCAGTGTAACAAAATACTTGAGAAAATCAACTTAGAAAATTCAAAGGTTTATTTAGTTCATAGTGCTGCAGGCCCTCGTTCATGACTTGTTGACCCTGTTACTTTGGAGCCTGTGGTAGGGCAGCACATCACAACGGGGGCTGGGCAGAACAAAACCACTCACCTCGGCCGGAAGCAAAGAGGAAAAGAGGGAAGAGGCCAGGGTCCCACACTCCCTGTTAAGGGCACATCTTCAGACATCAGAAGACCACCCCCCTGGCCCTACTCTTAAAAGTCCCACCACCTCCCAAGAGTACCATTGTGGGAGCAAACCTTTAATGGAGGGGCCTCTTGGGGGCACTCAAGGTCCATGCATAGCAACAGGGTACATGGAAGGTGTATAGGTCCAGCGTCACCCTCCAGGGAGAGACTCTGAGTATGGTGGGGAGACTGGAACTGTTCCCCAAAGTCCTTCCGACTGGTGCTGGAGGAGGAAAGTACAGACAGTGCAGATGGACATTGGGGAAAGTTTGTAGCAGTGTGCCCAGTGCATGGGAGACGAGGACTCCTGTCATTGAACAGACTCCAGCCATAGTCAAACTCATGCGGGCTCTCCAAAGGCACAAACTGCATATCATCATACACAGTGAAACCACAGATCATTCTTCAGTGTGTGGCAAACCAGACCCACCTTGGTCCTTCAACGTGAGGAGCGTGACAAGCACACTTCTACGCTGTCACTTAAAGGGATTGTAGGGGAAGCCCTCCTAGATAGAATGAAGAAAGGCTTTTAAAAATTAAATTATACTTTTTGAAAAGCATAAAGCACAATTTAAATACCACAGCATCTGTGGACTCAACCACCCATGTGGTAAGAGTTGTCTTACACGTAAGGAAGCAAAGGAAGCTCACTGGCCCTGCATAGCTCAGGCAGGCTGAGCCTGGGCCACAGAGGGCTGGGGCAGAGCAAGGACACGCCAGGTGGTTTGGAACATGGCCCTGCCTCCAGCACCCGGTCTGGGGAAGCTATCAAGTGGGTCTCCACAATGTCAGTGGAAACTAAGCAAGCGGCTCATAAAAGAGCTGGCTGTAGGTATCTGGAATGGACTGGAGAATAGGCTGAACTGCAGCCCCAGTCTAATCAGAGAGGCATCACGGGTAGTGATTACTACTGGCTCATAAAACCTCATGGCCGTGGAGAGCCCTACATCTGCCCGGCAGCTGCTCTGCCTGGGTGAGCCACGTTTCTGAGATTGGCCAGCTCTTCCTTCCCACTTACTTCCCCACAAGTTTTTAATTGCCAAGTGATCAAGATCACCACACTGCACCCTTCACCCGCACCCGTAGCAGTCACTGCTGATCTGTCAGAGCCAGTCTCCTGGGCCCTTTCTGTGGGCACTGCTGACTGGGGGTGGCCTATGGGATGAAGCCCTTTATCTCCTCCTTGGCTGAGAGCAGGAGGAGAATCAGGAAGCAAAAGCTACGGCCTGGGTGTGCTGACCGAAACCCAGGGAAGGCAGCCCCAGGCCTGCTGCTTTGCTCTCGAATTTTTCATTTCTCTCCCAATATGAAGAGAATCTGGAAACCTCTTCACCCCAGACATCCCATGTAACACCAAACAACTCAGACAGGTCCTTAGGACAAACTTAAACCTTAAGCCAGTCTTCCCAACTGGTCTGAGAAGACACCTCGTGCCAAAGCTTTGGGAAGCACGACCTTGGTCAGCTTTCTGGGGAGATACCTGGAGATTCTCCCTGGAGTCAGAGCAGCTATAGGCAGCTGCTGGGACCCAACCCTCCAGCCCTGACCTCCCCTTCCCAGGTCCATGCTGGTGACAGTGATGGCCTAAAGGGCCACGTGGAAGGGTATCTTGAGACGTGGGTGTGGATCTTGAGGGATGCCAGGAGTCCCAGGCCAGCTGCACACAGTACACTTGACAATGGCAAGTCAGAGCATCAGTGTTCAGTGGGGTTTTGAGCTGCAACAGGGAAATCTCCCTTTTCTGGGTCCTGACCAGGCACCCATCTACACAGACGCCCGGGGCCAGCCCGGAGCTACGAATGTGAAGATCACTGAGTGGCAGGCTGGCTGGGCTGCTGCTCCAGGAGCTCTAACTCAGTGTCCATATATAAAGGTGAGCGGTGATGGAGGGTGGGGTGGGGAGGGTCCTCAAAGGCCAGAGGAACAGCTGTGTCCAGGGAAGAAGGAATCTTGGCACCAGATGACATAACAGAGAAGTGCTTGAGACCCAAACTGCTGCATTCAAAGCTGTCTCTGCTACATATTAGCTGTGTGACCTTGGGGTGACTAACCTCTCTGCTGTGGTCTGTTCCAGTTTCTTAAGGGGTAGCATTAGTATCTTCCTCCTAGGTGAGAGGTAAATGGATTACTTTAATTAAAGCGTAGGAAGCACTGTCTATGGAGTGTTAGCCATTCCTATCATTCTGTAGACCACTGAACCAGGGGAGTGAGGTGTTTTATAGGAAAATGATTATTCCTTTATGCCCTGAATCAGCCTGTGACCGGGGCTATGTCTATACTTGGAGTTAGTGAGACCTCAGCCCACTCAAGTTCTTGTGTATACTTCAAACTCCTTCCTTGGGCATTGACCCTGACAACAACCAGGAAGGGTGCAGAGCTGCTTGCTGCCCAGGAAGCCAGAAAGAGCTAGCTTGTGAGGAGGAACCTGAGGTCCCACTGTTCCCTGGGAAAGCACACCCCCAAAGACCAAACTTCCTCCCACTAGGTCCCACCTTTTAAAGGGACCACCACCTACCTTCCAGTAGCGACAGTCTGGGGACCAAGCCTTGAACACGTGAATCTCTGCGGTCCCCTGAAGTCCAAAGCAGCATCTTACTGCCTACAACCAGACAATAGCTGGGGTTGCTTGTTAGGACTGTTAATGTGAATTTCCATGTTGATTCCCATAATTCCAAAGTAAGTCCAGTCCCAAAGGATGAGATGTGGGGCAGGTGGGCTCACAAAGCATCAACACAGCAGTGGCTGCTCAGGACATGGAGGGTACTGCAACCTGGTGGTGGGCTCAGGGTCAGGAGTAGGTACAGAAATGGAAATCGGCCATCCAGACTAAACAACCCGCCTCTCAGCTGCTCACAGTGAGATGTGGTCCAGGCCTGCATCTCCCTTAACCTCTCCCCAACCCAGGAACTACCCAGGTATATCTCTGTTTATTAAAAAAAAAAAAAGCCAAATCAAATAGTTGTCTGTGAATCCATGAATATTCACACAATCACCAGTCATACTGATGTGGAAGCGGCACATGGACTCCAGACCTTGTCCATTCTACTCTTAGAAGTGCCTTTCAATGTTTGAAAATTAATAAACCACAAACTACCTTATACTCATAATGATCTACGCTTTTCTAAGAAAAGCAATTTTAAACTATGTTGACTTTCTAAAAATTAGAAGTATTTCCCATGAGGTAAATGAAGCAAAAATATTGTTCTTAAGGGAACAAGACGCATATGGCAAAGCCAGCAAATCTGTACTGCATACCTACTTAAACTGAGCCATTCTTGTGCAGAAAGCGAATCTGTGGCTACAGCTTTTGGCAGAGCAAACACTCATTTATGCCCCTCTTGTGTGTTCCCAGAACTCACCACATTTCTTCCTGGAATGTCCCTGGGTTTTGCAGACTCCTGAAGCCACTAGTGGTCCTGCACTAGCCTTGCCTCAGGTCTCTCCCTAGGCTCACAGCTGGTTTATCTCATGTATTTCTTGTCTCCAAAGTTTTAAAAGCAGTGGGTCAGCCTGGTCACAGATGGGAACCTCCAAAACTGTTGCACAAAGCAGTAGTTTAGATGAGGTCTGTAGGCCAGCTTTCTACTTCAAAGCTCCAGCCTCTTGGTCAACATGCAGTTCCCTGGACCCCACACCATACCTACTGTGCTGAGATCTTGACTGGAGGTTGGTGCTTGAGAATCTGCATTCACAGTGACTGTGGTGATCACACACTGTGTCACTGGAGAAAGACTGCTTTGAAGTATGCATTTGGGGTGTCTGGCTGCAGTCACAGATTTAGAACAGTAGGAGAGTCACAGATAAGGGAGCAAAGGGGAGGTAAAAATCAGTAAAATGCATGGTTTAGCTGTTAGAGATCTATTACTGAGTCCTGCAACCACACTAGGTTTTATACTCCTCTTTGACCTGTGCACAAGGAGGTTGTGTAGTAGCTTTAGGCACACAGCCCAGAGCCAGGATTTCAGTACACAACAAGCCAAGTCCAGAGCCTTCACTCTAACTAGTAAAGTAGAAGGAACATTGCCTGCCTTCTGGGGGTGGATGGTCTCATTAAGAGGGTGAGCTCCATTATACCAGAAAGAGATAAGGAAAAGGGCATGGCCAAAGAGTACAGTGCTGCTTGTTTCCCCGGGGAGCAATGAGTGGAAGGAGAAATTAAACACATCAGCTGCAGAACCAGTGACAAGAGCCCCAGGAGGGCACAGGGCACAGGAACCAATCACTGTATGTTACTGTGGCCATTGCACGGCTTTCTCAGCTTGCTGCCTTCCTGCCTGCAAAGGATACAGAGAAGAGGTGCAGAAGTAGCACTTTCAGCAGGTGTGGTGGCACATGCCCATAATCTCAGCACTTGGAAGGCTAAGTCAGGAGGATCATGAGTTTGAGGCCAGCCTGTACTACTACACGGCAAGACACTGTTCAAAACAAACAAAAAAAAAAAACAGAAAAGTAGCAACTTTTCATTGGTGATAGAGGTGAACTGATAATCATTACCATATTTATAAGTCAGAGAACAAAGTAAAATGATCTTTTTTTCATATTCTGAAAGAAGTATATCAACTTTGTCTTGCCAATGCCATCCAGAGTGTTTGGGGCATAAGCGATAGTATAACACTAATGGTTGTTGGCAAGAAGCGATATGGCCAGTGACTCAGGCTGAGGGAGGCAACGCGCTTGCCTAGCATGTGAGGCCCCAGGTTCCATCCCCAGCATTACCAAAGAGGAGTTCTTCTTCCTACAGCATGAACATGGGCTCTGGCAATGATCAGAGAATGGCACCTGGAGTTAGAAGACTCATTTTAAATCACATACTCCTACACACGCACACACATACACACACGCAGAGAGAGAGAGAGAGAGAGAGAGAAAACAGCATTCAAATAAATTTTAATAAATACACATAGGAAAAATTCTGGGTGGTTAAATACAAGTCAGTATCAAGCCATTGCCATGGCCAATGAGGCAGAACTCTTTAAATGCTTTTTTCAATAGCTAAGCACATACACTGTAAGGAGCACATATCCTGTGTGCACATGACCAACTCTGAGACAGACACACTTGCGTGGCACTGTCACTGTTACCAAGATGGAGATTCACAACCTATATTGTATACACAACTAGAAAGTGCCTATTTTCCTTTATGCTCCTTCTTTTCATCTGTATTTTCTTATTTGTGACAATGGACAGGTATTGCTTTTGAAATTTGCAAACAAATATTAAGTTTCAAAATTGACGACAGTAGTTGCAGTTGCTAATAACACTGAAAGACTGCTTGCATTGTGCACTTTGAGTGGGTGCTTCAGAGCCCCACCCATGTGATCCTGTCCTCTCCCCACCAGGGCCTGCAGTACATGGAGCTCATCCCCAAGGAGCGGCAGCCAGTGACGGGAACCGAGGGGGCCTATTACCGCCGCCGCCAGCTCATGCACCAGCTCCCCATCTACGACCAGGACCCCTCGCGCTGCCGTGGACTTTCAGACAATGAGCTGAAAGTAATGGAAGAGTTTGTCAAGCAATATAAAAGTGAGGCCCTCGGGGTGGGCGAAGTGGCCCTGCCAGGGCAGGGCGGCTTGCCCAAGGAGGAAGGGAAGAACCAGGACAAGCCAGAGGGCACAGAGACCACAGCACCCACCGCCAATGGCAGCCTCAGTGACCCAGCCAAGGAAGTGGAATACGTGAGTGTCCTCTGTGTCTCTGGTGTGGCTGAAACGGCCTGGGCCTGGGGCTGCATGCATTGTCAGGGCCCTGTGTCAGGCCACCGTGGTAGTGCGCTGACTCATGCATTCATGCATTCAGCAGGTATTCGTTCACGCTCTGTGCTAGGCACTGAGTCTGGACAGTAAGGTCGCTGCCTTGAAAGGCTCACTGTCCAGTGGAGGACATGGAGGAGCACCCTGTGACTGCTCAGAGCAAGGGCAGCTAATGACATTTGGGGTTAAGTGCAGAATTCAAGAAGGTGCTGAGTGAGGAGCCAGCTGCAGCACAAGGCATCTGCACCTGTAGGCTTTGAGGGGACGATGTGCTCTCCACTAAAGAGGTACACATGTGCAAAAATGACCTAAGTTTATGAGAGCATGGTGCTATCAGAGGAGTTGAAACTGTCCTGTGTGAGTGACAGCGTGGTTGGGGAAGTGGAGGACTCAAGGCCAGAGAGGCCAGCAGGGGAGTTTCCTGGAAAGCCAGGCTGTCTGTCCATTCGTCACTCAAATGCTGGTTAGTTTGCATTATCAGCTGAGCCCCAGGAAGTCAAACAAGCCGAGAATACTGTCCCCACATTGGAGAAAGCTGTTGACTTGGGACTTTAAGGGTCATTCAGGCGTGGTATCAGAGGTGGCACATGATCCAGCTGTGCTTTGGAGAGTTCCTCTAAAGACAGTGTGGAGAATGTGCTGGTGGGGGTGTCTTAGCTTTCCTGTGGCTGGAACAAAATACCCGGCACCCACAGTTTAAAGGAGGAGAGGTTTATTTGTCTCACAGTTTCAGAGGCTTCAGTCCATGGTCATCTGCTTTCAAGGCAGAAGCATCATGAGGAAGGGCCTGAGGTTCATCCAAACAGCAAAGTTAGAGCACCAGAAAGACATATCCCCCAAAGACATGTCCCCAGGGACCCACCTCTAGCATCGTCCCACCTCCTAACAGCACATACAGCCTTGGACAATCCTCTGATGAGTACAGCACCCCAAGATCTCATCACCTCTCCAGAATTAATCCAGTCACACTGACGATTAAGGTGCCTATCACAGGCAGTGAGCCACTGGGGCCCAATTTGAGAAAGCACAGAAAAGCTACTGTTGAGAGCTGAAAGCCTCACAGACTGTTATGTCCTACTCTCCCAAGGGCTAGCCAAGCTGGTACATATGTGCTCATGCTCACCACCTTTGGAGCTCCCAGGGTCCTTCTCCCTTTTTTTCTCCCCACCCATCAGCCAAGTGGCCTCATTGGCCACTACTTGACATTCAGAGGTAAAAGACTCAATGAACAGGTCCTCCAGCAAGAAACTTGCCTCACCACTGAGCTAGACAACCCAGGGAAATGTCAGCCCAAGACTGCTGCTACCATGGGAGAGAGCTGGTTCAGAGCTCCCCACGTGTCTTCTGTCCACAGCTATATCTTGCCAGCAGCCCGGGACTGCCATCCTGGAATTAGGGCCTCACACAGTGAGCTGCAGATTCTAAAATCAAATTTATTTTCTGCTGATTTGGTGGTGATATTTAAAAGACCCATTTCTCAGGATAAATACGTCTCCTGAGGACTTAAAAGGAGATTGGATATAGTTACCATATTTTATAAAATGGGCCCTCCTGCCCCACCCCTATCCTATCCTCTATCTGACCTCAGATAGCTGCCTCTCCTTAAAGCAGAAATTCTGGAGAATTCCAATTTCTGGAAGGAAATTTCATGACATGGCTGTGACTTTCCAAACTGCCATTTCCAAGAGATGCTGATCTGAGAATATGCAGAACTGGGGCAAAAGTGGCCTGAGATCTTGGTATCTGTTTACATTAACTTTAGGAAGTTCTTGTCACACTTCAGAGGTATTTAAAAACAATACTCAACAGTGAGGGGCGGATCCCCCAGCCAGAAAATAAGCAGGGCATGGGAAGGAAAGTCCTGGTTGGGCTGGGTTAAGCTGGCTCTGGAATAGAAACTTCTTACTTGCCATAGCCTCGATGTTAACTCTATAACTAATTACGTAATTAATGAATTTGTCTGTCACTTGGATGGGAGGTCTCATTCAGCTCTATATCTGCAGCAGGTGCCACAGATAGAGGTAGTAGGCACCCAGTGGATCGGTGATCTGTGATTGAGTCAGTGAACATTTGAACTAAACTGGACCCTCACAGTTGGGGACAACGTGGATGGCCATTTTCCCTAGGAAGATAGGCAGATTCCATTCCCACCCTGATTAAGCATTTGCTGGATGCCAAGCACTATGCTTACACTGTCAGAGTCTTTGTTTAATTCACACTGTTGCCTGGTAAGGTGAACTTTCCCAAACCCACTTACCAGTGAGGTTCTGGGATTAAGACATAATAGGTAACTTTGCCAGGTCCCATTGTTTCCAGGCCTGTGTGTTGCTGAGTTAGAACACCTTGACTGGGACCTTTTATTTAAGCCCCTGCTTATCTTCTACAAGCAATAAAGTGGATCATGATGCAGGCAGCTAGGTAGCCCAACAGGCCTTAAACTATGTCACCCCAGTAGCCCACAGTCAGGTGTGGGAGGCGCCTGGGCACACTATGCTTTCTCTGCCTCACCCCATGAGCAGCTACACAATGTGGCCATGTGTCCTGGCTGTCCTGAGTTTATCTCAATCCTCATAAAAGGGCAGCATTGAGCCAGGCAGCAGGTAGGAAGCCTGATTGAAGGGCGATAAACTTTGCAAGAAATAGGCCTTTAACTTGAGATTACAGGTGGGTAGAAGGAATTGTTGGATTTGGCCTGATATCTCCAGATCAAAGAGATTTATGGTGGTAGGGGCAGGGAGGGGAGATAAAGGGCATAAAGAAGACATGTGACACATTCCTGAACTGTATTGGTAACACCTGGCGAATTCTTGTCATCATAATGGTCAATGCAGTTGTGGTCGGCACCACAGCTTGATGAGTGTTGCTCTGAACCCAATACTGAAGTCAACACAGATACAAAGTTTGCAACCACCTTAACAGTGTGACAAGGTTGTGCGTGCCCAGGCTGCTGGGTCTCAAAACTGGAATTTAAATCAGGATCTTCCAGATTTAGTGTTCCCCAAAGCTTATTCCTGGGAGACTTAGCTGACCTCATGCCACAGCAGGGTTACTTGGCCATGTAGTGCTGGAAGACTGTCAAGAGGATGAACTGTAGGGATTTCTCCACAGTAGGACCTCTCAGAGCCTTTGTAAGGAGCATGTGGTGCTACCTAAAATCACCAAGCCAGCCTTCCCCTAAAGGAGAGGGCAGGACCAAGAATCTGCTCCCCTGACAGTCCCCAGGTGGCATGTGTGCTGATCTAGGCCACACTTTGAGGTTCCCTGCTAAAGAGTGTTAGAAATTACTTGTAAGCTCAGCAAAGATATCACCACTTTAGTAAAGAAGGAGTGTCCAGGGGGTAACATGGACATTTTCTAAATTTATTTGGCCTCTTGGCTCTCTCTGTCTCTGTCTCTGTCTCTGTCTCTGTCTCTGTGTCTGTCTTGTCTCTCTGTTTTTCTCTGTCTGTGTCTCTTTCTGTCTGTCTGTGGACTCACCTCAAAGGAGCCCCATGTGAGAGTGTTGCACAGCACTCTTACAGTCCCTTGCCTTGTCCATGGGGAGTTGTAAAGACACAAGCTGTACCCCCACTCTGCCAGTCCTGCCTTTGCAGACCCTCAATTTTAGCCCGTATTCTCCATGCAGCTGTGAGCCCCTGGGCTTCCATCCACTGGCTTGTCAGCCTCTAAAGGTGGTGTCCATCCTCTGGAACCTCAGGAGGGGCTCAGAGTCCAGTAATGGCAGAGGTGTTCTAGTGAGTCCTCCCTAAGGCTCCATCAGAGTGTCCCTGTGGAAAGTATTATCTCAGCCAGAGGAGCATCACTGCCAAAGCCTGTTCTGAAATGCCTGTGTGGAGTTCCCACTGAGGGGCTGTTTGGAGGGGCCCCAGGTCATAACAGGCAAGCTGAGCAGAATAGCTGGGCTGAACACAGCAGGCAGGTCTGAGTTCTGCACCCACAGTCAATCTGCAGACAGAACAGAGAGCTGACCTTAGACAGAGCACGTCTGTCCACTAGAGCAGTGAACCCAAGAACTGTGGCTCCCACACCTGCCTCAGAGCCATCCTCCGAAGGTGCCATGCTTTGGGACAGGTGCGTGTGTGTGGGTGTGCGCGTGTGTGTGTGTGTGTGTGTGTGTGTGTGTGTGTGAGAAGTGCCTGTGGCCAGCACACATGTGGAGTAAGCCCTCTGCAGGAGGAAATGCCACGGCATAAACACCTGTCTGGATGCCCGTTCATCACCTGGTCCCCACAGAAGTCTGCCTTTTAAACCCACGAAGCTGGATAAAAGCCCAGGAATACTTAGCCCCGCTCTCTGCCTGCTTGCCCCACTGTACTCTGTGTGGACAGGAGACAAGAGGCAACTGTTCTGTCTCTTGAAATCTTTGTGAAAACCATAAGAGGGGCTGCCATATCCATTGCACTGACGAGGAGCCCAAGGCATAGTCAGGGGAACCAGCTGCTGCCGAGCAGTGGGCTCGGACCCTGTCTCAGCCCCCTGCCTTGTCTGTGTAGTGAAGGTGAGCAGTCCTGAGAGGAGGCTGAACAGTCAGTCCCACCATGGCAGGGTGAGTGCGTGTGTGTGGGTGTGTGTGTGTGTGTGTGTGTGTGTGTGTGTGTGTGTATGTGTGTGTTGATGTTTGCTAGGGAGAATTGCAGTGTTTCAGGTCCCTCACAGCCCAGCCCACTGGGGAATGTGACACAGGGAGGCTGTACACAAAGAAAGCGTTTCGTGGCCTACCCCAGGTCTAGCCTAGCTGGCCTCTCGTGGGTCTTGGAAGCATCAAAGGACTCTGTGGCCGTGGAGCTGCCAGCTCCAGCACTGTGGACTGTTTCAGAGTCTGGTCAAAATCCTACCACCACCACCGAAGCCCTCTGTGGCCGCCTCTCCCACCTGGATGTAATCTGTGGGTGCCTGTGCTGTGTGGGCAACATTCTACGTGTTCT